TCCGAAAATTTAGAAGAGCTGCGGGAAAAAATAGTGAACGTTTCAAATTCAATCACACCCAATTTTTTAACTAACGTTATCGATTCGTTTTACATTAGCTTAGAACACTGCCAAGTTGTCGAAGGACATCAATTTGAACATTTGATAAAATAATTAATGTTTTTATTCCTTCACATACACCAGTGTTCCCATCCCGGTCTTGCCTTAGTTGGCAGGACACGCTAGCGGTCTTGCCTTGGTTGGCCGGACACGCACGCACGCACGCACACACAACAGAGAGGATTTGGAGTCATTAAATACGGCGGAAGTTACGAACCGCGGGGTTCTTATCTCTGTTGTGACACACACACACGCACGCACGCACGCACGCACGCACGCACGCACGCACGCACGCACGCACACACACACACTTAGGAACGCGCGTGCCCACGTGAAGCCTTATCTTTCTTCTGTTGTCGCCGTGGGCCCTCGCTATCGCACTATCGCAATAAAAATGTTCAAATAATCATAACTCTGCGAAAAAAAATCGTAGAGGCCTCGGCGACCTCGCGTTGTTTTCGTCTCGGAAAACCCTTTCGAACGAGCCCTCACTCAACTCCACATGCCATTTAAGATTTTTTGGCTCCCCCCTCCCCCCGTCCTCCGCGGGTGTAGAAGTGGGTGTTTTTGTGGTTAAATAATAGACTTTGTGATCCCATTGTACCCTTTGGAACGAGCTCTCACTCAACTCCACATGCCATTTAAGATTTTTTGGCTCCTCCCTCCCCCCGTCCCCCGTGGGTGTAGAGATGGGTGTTTTTGTGGTTAAATAATAGACTTTGTGATCCCATTGTACCTTTATAAATTTCAATCCTATATTTTAAACCATTCCAAAATTATTTAGGTGGCCCGAAACTTTTGGTAGGCACTGTATAATAAATACAAAGAATAGGTAACGTTTCCACAAAGAAAGCGTTATTATACTATGTATTGTCACTACATTATGAATTAATATGCTTGGTAGTAGCTTTAACCATGCGATTGCGAATAATATATAGATCTAAGAAACTTACATTTATGGAATCACGGATTACATAGTACATGATAACAATTTATCTGGAATAACTCCTTTCAACCATGAAATACTAAAACTTGAATTTCCAAATTAATTACCAGACATGGAACAAATTTAACAAGTGACTCCATAAAGCTAATATTAATATAACTTTTTCATATTACCTTACAGTTTATACTATAGTTTCCCGTACTATATTATAGTTTTTCCATATTATACTCTTGGTTCTCAATAGTATATTAGATGTAGATTTTCACCGTCAAGCCAGTACCCATACAGCACCGCAAGATTGTAACAACATTGCAGCAACATTTTTCTGCAAGATTGCAACATTACAGAAACATTGCAAAATATTGCTGCCTATATTGTTATGATATTGCAGCAACAATAAAATGTCCGCCTACAGAAAACTAAAAATTAAATGCGGAATAGATAGCGCAACATGCGCCGCATCGCGGTAAACGAATGAACTAGCGATTATCGAATACTTCTTTTGTAATATTTTCGGAATGTTGTTGTAACATTGCTAAAGTTTTATTGTAAAATAATGTCTTTCCAATATTTCTGCAACATTACACTGCAATATGCAATATTGCAATGTTGCAGCAATGTTGTTGCAAGCTTCAGTGCTGTATGGGTAGTACCGGTAGTATCAGTAGTAGTACCGTCAGTCCCGCCGATCATTCCAACGCATAACTATATGCGTGTCTTTCATTATACAGTAATATTCTCTTAGTTTCTTACCGTCTTAGTCTCAGTCTCTCAGACGCAACCGCGTGTCTTTCATTTTCAATCAGTTAGTCAGATAGATTCATAAGCTCAATCTGTATAAGTCAAGAATAAAAACATTGAACATACACCTGTCTACGTCAACCTAGCCTATCTCATCCACGACCGAAGTATGTATATGAGAAAGAAAAGGCTTTAAGCAAGTATATCCCTATTATTCTTACTATTATTATTATCAATACTGGACAAATCTAGATTTTGCTTAGCGGCTATTCTGCTGTTGTCACTCGGACATGGTCCAACCCTTGAAACCCGGTTGCCGAGCTTTATTGCCCTGGTGACAAGACGTGGTCCAACCCTTGAAAACCCGGTTACCGAGCTTTATTTGCCCTGGTGACACTCTACTCTCTTTCCAGAATTTCCATCGTTATCGAGCATCGAAAAATGCCCTGGATCGGCACCTTCCCATCACCACCCTTCATAATTCCATCGTTATCGAGCATTGAAGTATGCTCTCGATCGGCATTTTTCCCATACCTTAGACCTCCCTTTTGAATTAAAATCTAGGATCGTACGAAACCAGTAAAATCTAGTATCGATGTTAATAATAGATCGACCTTTACCCATAAACGTTCCCTTAATCAACACTTCTCTCATTTTTACCACTATCATAGTTCTCTCTCTTAAAATATTATTTCTCTAACTTTCATTATACTATAATTAACACAATACCTAGAGTTATATTAATCTAAGATTTTCCCTAAATAATTAATACGCCCCTTGCAAATGATTAACCCGGAATACAGGCTTGCTCTCAGGAAAAAACGGAATCATAGAGCCGGTGTAAAAACGCGTGCTGCACGCCTTTCCTCCGAGTTGTCTCGGCTTAACCGATTACATAGTAAAAATAAACCTCGAGTAATATCTTGTGAAAAGGTCTCTTTGTCTCCAGATACTATAAATCTGTTAAAATATTCTCATAAACCTCAAAAAGACAGTCAAGAAGATTCTCAAAGAAAAACATCAACGGAACCTCTGGAAAGCAATTCAATTACTAACGCTCCTTGCATAAGCGATCCTACGGTCTTTTCACTTATACACCGGAATTCATATTACTAATACGAATTGTATCAAAATATAAATCATTCTACAGAAAGTTGTCGCGACGAAAATCAAACAACTCCCCGGGACCTGATTTCCCAGTTAAAAGACCAATTGCCTGAAGAACACTTAAAAATAGATGAATACGCTAGATATTTAGATTCATAATTAATCACATAGCATCTTAAAGCCCGTATCAGACTACGCATTAAAGATTGAAGATTGAAATTTGTCCAATCAGAATAAAAAAAATTTAGTCCCTTTTGTTCTGATTAGTCAAATTCCAATCTTTAATCTTTAATCCTCGATCTTTAATGCGTAGTCTGATACGGTCTTTAAAGTCCGTATCAAACTACGCATTGAAAATTGAAAATTCAAGATTGAAATTTGATCAATCAGAATACAGAAATTTTAGTTTCTTTTGTTCTGATTATCAAATTCCAATCTTCAATGCGTAGTCTAATACGGGCTTAAGTATGGTCTTGTGTCGTCTTAAGATCTTATTCAACCAATGAAATGGAGTCGTATGTCGTTAAGCCCGGATCAGACTACGTATTAAAGATTAAAATTTAACCAATCAGGCTAAAAGGAACTAAAATTTCCTTGTCCTGATTGGTCAAATTTCAATTTCAATGCATAGTCTGATACGGGCTTTAGTCGTTAGCAAATTGACCAATGACAGTCGATTATTCCGAGAATATTTGATTGTTATTGATTAATTTGCTTACGACTAACAACATACGGCTTATTGTAGAACGGACCTTATTATAAATTTTTAAGAGCCGAATTGCAAAATCTGGCTGTATATGTAAAATTATTAGCTATACAAAAAACATTTTGAATGCGGTAGCAAACGTTACCAATCAATCACCAAACGAATGATGAAAAAAAAATTTCCAGCAGTCAAAATGGGTGGGGGGAGGGTCTAAGAAAAGGTTAAAAATTTGTTTACGATTTTTTTTTAAATAAACGGGAAACTACCAAACGTTTTGGATGCGATACCAAACATTAGCAATTAACCATTGAACGATTGGTAAAAAAAAAATTTCCGAAAGTCAAAGTGGGGGGGGATAAAAAAAGATTAAAAATTTGTTTACAATTTTGTCAAAAAACCGGAAATTACCAAACTTTTTTAATGCGATACCAAACATTACCAATCAACCACCAATCGATTGATAAAAAGAAAATTCCCAAAAGTCAAAGTGGGGGGGCTAACTTTGGGAAGGTGTGAAATTGGCCCTAAGGGCCACCGCACAAGCTTTTTCGTAATGCACTACGTTACGTTAAGTACTGATTCTAAACCTAAACTCGTACATAATCTTATGGCGAATTCGATTGGATGCACTAATGCGCACTAGTGCGCACTGAGTGCGCACTCTTTCAGTATTTAATATTCAGTTGGCTTGCCCTGTACTGGTTCAGAATTTTATGTGTATTTGGTTGATAGTGCACTAAAAATATGTGCTAGTGAAAACGTGTTCGACTGAACTGCATTATCCCAGAGCAGTGTTATTTGTACGTACGGTTGAAATACATTGCACTAGTGTAGAAGGCACTGAATTGCACTGAGATTTTCGACAGTGCAGTTCAGTGCAAATTTGAGTATTCCAATGAAAAAATATGGCAGCTAAAATATTATTATTAGATGAATTGTTAAATAGTTCGAGCAGTTCTAGCGATGAAGAAATGATAGCAGTATTAATGCGACATGAAACACAAATTCCAAAAGTTCGGAATATGATAAATATTATAAATGAATATTCTGATAAAGAGGTATTATCACACATAATTTCAATGTATAGTTTAAATATTTATTATATTATTTCATATTTAAAGTATCTCTCTTTGATTATTGTAGGTTTTTCTCTGCTCTCTTGTTGATTACAAGTCGCATATTGCACATGTGGGCACCACTAAAGAAGTTACTAAATGCACTATATTGGGATCAGTGCCTGTAATCGCTCCCAGGTCAGTGCAAATAAGTCTCGGGTCAATATTAAACTATGCGCTCCAAACATGTGCGTCTGGTAACAAAAAGTTACTAGCCACTGAAACGGAGCGAGTGCACATCAATCGAATTCGCCATATGTTTGTTACACGAAAATACCTAGGGATTGAATCCTTTGGAAGTGTTGCCAACACAAAATACGTAGCGGCTTTTCAATTTCACATGGAAACATTGGCCGCGTTCAACAGAGAAAACCAGTGCCGGTCTACAATAGGTGATTTAAGCCCTAAGCTTTAAGAAATTGACCAATCACAATCAAGTATGAGGAGAATACTCGACTGTGATTAGTCAATTTCTTAAGGCTTAGGGCTTAAACCACCTGTTGTAGATCGGCACTTACGGAAAAGCTTGTGCGGTGGCCCTAAAGCCCGAATCACACTAGCGGCTCGCGGCTGCGATTGCGATTGCGTTTGTGATTGTGATTTGCTACGCTCCAATCATACTTGCAATTGGTGCTTTCTGATGGGGCAATCGCAATTGCAACCGCGAGCCGCTAGTGTGATTCGGGCTTAACCCGTTCATTCGAAAACGCTATAAATGTAGATGTAGCACGGATATGAACCAATCGGCTGTTTTATCATGACTCCTAAAAATGGATGTGGCCATGTAGTTCCAAGCGGCGTAAAATGGATGTACGCGCCGCTAGTGTACGACCTAGAAAAAGCGTCTTACGAAAAACGGCAGCATGGTGACTCTCAGCAACTCTCAGTCTTCTCTCTAATTGCACATGTTACGTCGTCAAAGTTTATTGAAACTCGTTACTCTGTCGCGATTCATAGCAATCGGCGAACCGGTATTGAAACGATTTACTGCGTTTGTGAAACTTTTCGAAAATATGTACACAATCGTTGAGAGGGGTGCGCTTAACAGCACGGACTACAGGATATTTTTCAGTGAGTAAATATAATCGATGTAATTCACATCTCATCGACATTCGCGGAACTCGGCAATGAGAACTACATATAATCTTTATAAGGTCGAGGTCAAGACCGCACATTTGCACGCAATGTGCCATTAATATTTTCAATGCATTATATAATCCAATACTATTTTCTTGAATTCGCGAATGACACGTAATTGCCTTTAGTTTCATATATATTCTAACATTAAATAATTAAGGAATTTTAATTCTCATAGCACAAGGTATAACAGCCTTTTTTATAGCAGCTTGAAGAGTTCCAAGTTTGCCCATTCTGTTACTTATAGTTAGAATGCTGATTTTTAAACAGAAAAATCTGTAAATGATTTTTGTAATGGCAGCTAGTCATTAATAATACTTTTAGTGTTAACACATAGCATGTTACTATACCACATTTAATTTATGTGAAAGTATAATGGAAAAAAATAAAGAAGTAGTGTTGATTATGTTCTGTGTGCATGCGTGTGTGTGTGTGTACATATGCGTGCGTATGACGTGTGTCTGTGTGTATTTATACAATATTTTTTTGAGTCATATATTATTTTTTCCATATTAAAAGTTTGAGATATTTACATATGCAAAAATATGTATATTATTCTTAACATTATCAATATCTTTCTAAAATATATCTTTATTTTTATATACAGAAAATGATCTGGGAGTACCAATCTCACCCATGCATGACATTCCACTCTATGCCGATAAAAAGAATAAAATAATGAATATGATTGTTGAAATACCTAGATGGACAAATGCTAAAATGGAGATCTGTTTGAAAGAATCTTTGAATCCTATTAAGCAAGATGTTAAGAATGGTAAATTAAGATTTGTTGCTAATTGTTTCCCTCATCATGGATATATATGGAATTATGGAGCTTTGCCACAGGTAGAAATCCTGATAATTGTATTTTGATTATATATATAATTGTAATAATAATTGTAATTTAATGATGATCTCATTGATTCTTATCTGAATATAAAAAGAAACATGAGTAATTATATTAACTTATAATAAGTATTTATATAAGTATATATACAGAGTGTCCCGAAATTAAATGTCAAAACTTCGGGAGCATGTGCAGAATCGAAAGTATGAAAAAGAATCCTTTAGAGATTTGCTTGTTTTTGCTTCGTTTTGAAGAAATTCGCAAAAAAAGAAATAAAAAAAATTTTCAAAAAACTCAAAACAACACTAAAATTATTAAGTTTATCAAAAAGTATCATGAGATAAAAGTTATAGAGCATAGAATTAACAATAAGAAAAGAAAATGAAAAATTTTTCTGAAGTGAAATTAGAGGATTGTAAATAAATACGCGACAATGCGAGATTACCTAACTTAAAAGACTTTTTTCTTAGTTTATCGATCCTCCACACGCTCCTGAAGTTTTAACATTTAATTTCGGGACACTCTGTATAAGTATATAAGTATACAGGGTATATCCTAAAAAGTGGGAAGTATTGCAATGGGGGATTTAGGACACAAAAATAAGAGAAAAAGTTCATATAAACATATGTCCGATATGACCTTGTTTTTAAATTATAGCTTGTTTTATTTTCCAATAAAGTTAAGATAGCATACTTGGATATCGGTTTGCTGTTTATGTACAAGATTTAAAGGACTTAAGGTCTTGTTAATTTGTAAACATAAACGCGTATTATTTGTGTTGTAAGTGATACGGTTCATATCTTGTGTTTAGTGAAGGTAAGGTATTCGTATCGTACGTTAGTACTATTAACGATAGAAGTACGTTTAAGTGAAAACTATGGTTTGGTCAAACAATGAAATGGCAGACGTACATCTCATGTATGGATTAGCCCACGGTAATGCAGTCAGAGCTAGACTTTTGTATGCGGAAACCCATTGACAACGTCGAGAAACTTCGTCAACGTGTTGAAGATGCTTGCCGAGAAATTCAAGCAATACCCGGAATTTTTGAAAAAGTCAGACAATTTATGATGAGACGTGTTGAAGCCTGTATTCAAGTTAGAGGTAGTCATTTTGAGCACTTCCTGTAACCGTAATTATCTTAATTCTGTTGAAAAATAAGACAAGCTATAATTTGAAAACAAGATCATATCGGACATATGTTTATATGAACTTTTTCTCTTATTTTTGTGTCCTGAATCCCCCATTGCAATATTGCAACTTCCCACTTTTTAGGATACACCCTGTATATCTGTATGAAATTTTTTATCATGTATATCCTGCATATATGTGAGAGATTGTATATATGTATATATAATTCAAAACAATTATTTTTGTCGATCATTTTTTTGGATCACTTAATTAATATTGTTACTACTAGTATTGCTACTATTTTATTTACTAATTAACATTATTTACTAGTTTCTTAAAGAACAATATGTAATTCATAGTTTTTGATAAGTTATTAAGTCAGTATTATAATAATTATTAAGCTAATTTTAGTATTATAATTAATTATTTTTATAAAATATAATAATACTGCTGATAATAATATATACTATATATATAATATAATTAACAGACATGGGAAAATCCTGAAGTTTTGGATGACGCAACAGGCTGCAAAGGTGACAATGATCCTATTGACGTTCTTGAAATAGGCTACAGGGTAAAAAATAATTGCAACATGTATTTCGCATAAATAATCTTATTTACCACATAATAAATATTGAAAGAAATATTTGCATTTATATAGGTTGCAAAGCGAGGTGAAGTATTAAAAGTAAAAATTCTTGGAACAGTGGCACTCATTGACGAAGGTAAATAAGCTAGATTAATATAAAAACACAAAATATATTTATTAAAATAATTTACAAACAAAATATTGTAGCACACACACGCACACACACACATATTTTATTTTATAAAAAATTTTTATTTTAGGTGAGACTGATTGGAAGATTATTGTAATTGATGTTAATGATCCTTTGGCAAACCAAATGAATGGTAAATATTATATACATTTTAATTTAAAGTATTATGTATATTACATATATATTTATATTTATATATCTATATTATATGATATACAGGGTGAGTTTTTTAACTTGAAACTGTAAAATATCTCGGAAAGTAAGCTTTATCGAAAAAGAAAGGGGTGTACGGGTGGTCTAGGACACCCTGTATACAGAATATTCCAGCATAAATAGCTACCCCTTATTATTTCCCAAACTAAAACAGATAGACTAATAATCATAGTAATTAAACATAAAGTTAAATGGTTTTAATTAAACTATTGTGAGTATAGTAATTATTCACAAAAGTTCCAACTTTTTTATTGGCAATTGACATGTCATCTGCTTAAACATGCTAATCGCTGATGAGGGTCGAAAGTTAGTTGTATCGCAGGATCGTAAATGAAAAGTTAGTGCCAGATATAAAATTTCAAGCCGATAAAACTCGTATCATTTCTACAATAATCCTGTCAAATCATACGTCATTGTATTTATTTAATGAACAGCGCTACAACTTTTATTAAATTATCCACATGAAAAAAATATGTTTATCTTTCCACATAGGTATCTCTAATACAAACAACTTTTGTGAGTGATGATTATACTTACCATAGAATTTAGTTATTTAATTTCATAATTAATTTCCTAAAGACATTAAATTATTTAATTTCATAAAGACGAATCCAACAACTATAACATCTTGATTGTGGGGTGACCTTGAAATAAAATAATGTAGAAAAATAGGATAAGTTATAGGTAGATAAAAAAGTAATAATATTTTGAACAAGATAAATTAATTTTATTTTATAAGGTGCACAAAGTCCATTGTCCATACATGACGCTTTTGAATACGCTCTTTAAAAGATGCACGAACCTTTTGCAACATATCTTTTGGAATTGTTCGATAAGCGATATTGGCAATATGTTGCTTCATGTTTTCGGCTTGATAAGCACAATGTTGATAAACATAAGGAAACAAAATGTGTCAATGAAATTTTATTGAAATGATAAGTAAACAAATAGTGTATTGAGATGTATCAACACCCGAAGAGACATGAGGAAACGTATTATTAATGTCGAACGATTCCAAAAGATAACATTTTACTAAATAAAATTAATGGTAAATATTCACATAAGATCAGTTCCTTCAAAAGTCAATGACCTTAACATATGTTATCGAGGTTAGGTTAGTTTATTTTGGAGCTGAAGACCCTCCCCCACCCATGCATTCACTTTGCAATGACTATACAGACAATAATTTAATACTAATGATTATTACGGATGTGTGTTATTGATTATAATTAAGTATTACATATATCAAAAAAACAATGAATATATGTTATCAATAAATGTATGATTTATTCAATATCAATTATTATTAATTAGATAATTTGTTTTATAATACCAAAAAACGCTTCAATTCTTTCTTCAAAAGAATAAATCCTTTTAAACAAAAATTTGTGTTATTTTTAAACGAAAATTTCGTTTACTTTGTAATGTTTTTATATGTTAAAAGTAACATATTCACTATAATAAAGTTAGGATAATAAAAATATGTAATTATATAATATTACAAATAAATAAGGAAAATATTGATTTCCAACATTTGTTTGTGTAGTCATGTTTTTTATCAATAACTTTTAACAAACAACAAGCGAAAACTTCTTGGATGTTTCTTAGGGTCACGACTTTGACAACATACATGCAGATCATTGATTTTTGAAGGGGCTGATCTTATGTGAATATTTACCAAATTATTTAATTTGGTTCGAAATTATTATTTTTATTATACTCACCTATTATTCATCTTGTTTTCCTGGATTTTTTATTTCAAAGTCACCCCACGATCAAGCTGTTATAGGTTATTGGCTCTCTCTTTATGTTTTTATTCTTTACAATTATAGCTCATCAAAAATAAGGCTTTCTATTTAAAAATTTGAGAGGACTTTCAAAAATTTTTTGCGCCTCCACCTAAAAAAAGTTAAGAGAACTAAAAAAACGTAGCAATTTCAATATTATTTAATTTTATCTTAAACATTTTTGTGTTAAATCAATATTTATGAAGATATCTTAGAAGGCAGTTTCTAGTGACTCACCTTATATATATACAGGGTGTCCTATTTTAAACAGTCGAACCGAATATCTCGAAAACTGACAAGGGAGGTCCACCTGAGTGTAAATTTGTTTATCAATTTCATTGGTCTTAGCTAATAAAGCACCTTTCAAAGTATAACATGCTAAGTCCATAGGGCAATGTAACGCCTAATAATCGGGAAATAGGCCCGAGATAATTCGGCTGGGCTGGGACATAATGTCCTCTCCCAAGGCACTTCTCACTTTCTAACCCAATACAATGTATCGAATGCATGTATATCGTTTGTCATGTGCATTCGATGCATTATATTGGGTTAGAAAGTGGCCAGTGCCCTGGGAGAGAACATTGTGTCCCCAGCCTAGCCGAATTATCCCGGGTCTATTTCCCGATTATTAGGCGTTATATTGGCCTGTGGACTTAGCATGTTATATTTTGAAAGATGCTTTATTAGCTAAGACCAATGAAATTGATAAACAAATTTACACTCAGGTGGACCTCTCTTGTGAGCCCAATAGACAAAAATGTTTCAGACAGAAGTTGCATGGTTTCGAGGAGGCCACATGATGAAAATATGAACTTGACCTTGAGTGACCTTTTCAAGGTGAGGTCAATGTTATCGATGTTTTCTTAAATGGAAACCCCCATTTTTTATTGCATATTTTTGTAGCTTATCTCGAGAACTTTTCAAAACACTATAACAAAGTATTTTTTTATTAAGTATTTTTCGAGTTATTTTACATCTTAGTCTGACATATTTTGATTAAAAAAAATATATATCTTGTAAAATATGTAGTTTTCGATAATTTTACCGTAATACTTTTATGTACAGAATAATGAGACAAATCAATTGGTATAAAAAAAATAATTGTTTTTAAGAAAAAATATGTAATTATTTACAATGTATTTTCTTAAACAATTATTTGTTTTTTTTTACACTAATTGATGATTTGTCTCATTATTCTGTACATAAAAGTATTACGGTAAGATTATCGAAAACTAAATATTTTACTTTTTTACCTAGATATTTTATTTTTTATATCAAAATATGTCAGATTAAGATGTAAAATAACCCAAAAATACTTTATTATAGTGTTTTGAAAGGCTCTCGAAATAAGCTATAAGAATATGCAATAAAAAATGGGAGGTTCCATTTAAGAAAACATCGATTACATTGATCTGGCCTTGAAAAGGTCACTCAAGGTCAAGTCCATATTTTCATCATGTGGCTTCCTCGAGGCCATAAAACTTTTGTCTGAAACATTTTTTTGAAAAACTTCTCTTTTTCGAGATATTCACGTGAATTTATTAAAATGGTCCATCCTGTATACAAGGTGAGGCATCTAAGACAGGCCACCCGAATAACTCCCACAGTTTTGGAGATAGGAGAAAATGTTTGAAATAAAAGTTGTATGGTATCGAGGGAGAAATCTTGTGGAAATAAACATTTTTTTTTTAGGTGGAGGCGCTTAGGAGATTTGAAGGACATCTTCATTTTTTTTAATGGAACCCCCCCGTTTTTATTGCATATTCTTGTAGCTTATCTCAAGAGCTTTCCAAACCACTATAATAAAGTATTTTTTAATTAAGTACTTTTTGAGTTATTTTATATATTTTAATCTGACATTATAAGCTATAGTAATATGCAATAAAAAATAGGGGTTCCATTTAAGAAATTAAAGGTGTCCTTGACTTGACCTTAACGATGCCATCCAAGGTCAAACCAATGACACCATCTTATGTTCCCCTCAAAACCATACAATTTTTGTTCAAAACGTTTTTCTCTGAAATGCTTAGTTTTTGAAAGAAAAGGGGTGTATGGGTGGTCTAGGACACCCTGTATATATGTATATATAACCATATCTAAAATTATTAGACATTTTATTTATTAGTATATTTTTAAGAAATATAACGAATTAATTTTTATTTTAATAATTTCTTGAAATTGATTAAAACTAGTTAAGAATGTGTACATTTTTTCTGAATTTTTTTATTGTGTTATTGTATTTATAAAACTATATTATTTTTAAATTATTGATTGTAGTCAGTTTTTAATTAGCAAAGCATATCCAGATAACCAAGCGTGATTAATCATATTGAGCAAACTAATGCACTGCATATATGTGTTGTTATATATTTGTTGTACATTTGCCAACATCGAAATAGAACGCATTACTGATTGCAGCAACATGATTGCTTATACAAACAATCGGTTGACGAAATTTCGAAAATAAATAATCAGCGATACCGGTACATTATGTTATTAGCAATATGATAACTAATAGTTTGTCGTTTCATCTAGAGTCTAGAACATATGATGATAACATGACGGCAGCAACACAAATATAATGATTCTCATTCGTTGTTGCACATATTTTCTCAAGCAATGAAGTTTTTAATTGTAACTCGTCAACAAAATATTACAAATATGAAAATGTTATACGTTTACGACAAAGAGACAGCATATAGCTCTCGTGATTTAAAGTACAAAGTTCGTTTGCTTACCGCTATGCAACGGATTATGCCCTTCTATTCCGTATTTAAGTTTTTTTCATGAGAGTATATAAAGCCTACAAAGCGTAGCTAGTAACATTCAAAATGTAATATATTTTTCTATCAGTTTAATTTCTGATACAATCCCAACACAAGATTTTCCAAGTCTTCGACTAATTGTTCAAAAATGGACAAATGAGTGTCCAAATAAGTGAAAATTTTCGGTTTTTTTCTATCTATTTGAGATGTAAAATAGAAATCTAATTTTTATATAAATATATCCTTGAGTTTTATGAATTAAATTGTTTAAATTTATTAATTTATTATTTAGGTAAAACTTAAGATTAAGGGCGACCTCACCGATTTCAATGACCTTGATATACGTTATCAAGGACAAATTCTGAGTAACTTTTTCTTCTAATTTAATCGTCGCTCGTTGCTTATTAAAAAGTTATTAACAAACAAAAATTTGTAAAAATCAAGATTTATACATAGTCTGACAATGAAAAACTGGATATAAAGTATATGCGTGGACACAGTGGGTTCCGTCCCCCCTACGGGGGTGCTCCACTTCCGGAAGATATAACCTAACCCAAACCTATTTCCGATTTAGTTTCGCGTCCGAAGCACAGGGCGATATGGAATGGACCTCGTTTCGCGCAGAAAGTTGCAAACCCGTGTGAAATCGTTTAATTATAAACCTCGTTTCGCATCCGAAGCACAGGGCGATATGGGATCGATTCAATACCATTTTCTCTTAAAAAATAACTTTCTTGTAGGAGTCGCCAAAATTCCTTTTAGGATCTTTCATTTGAACCTGAAAGGAAGCCTTTCACAAAGATTCATCGAAATCAGAGCCACGCCCCTTTCGGAATTCCACCCAAAATTAATTTTATAGTATACATTTTTTTAAATTTATTTTATTGTCAGTTTTTTATTGGCAGAATTTTTTGATGTTTTTTGTGTAGCACTTTTTCACATAGCGTGTGTCCTTAGCGCCTTTCTTATCTTTTTTTAAAAAGATAAGTTTTTAGGGTATAAATAACATAGCAAGAATGAGTATAATAATTAATATACTATTTTATTTTTTTAGTTTTTTATAAAAATGATTAGAGCATTATTTTTTGAACATGCAAAAAGTCTAAATAAAGTTATACATTTTATATAACCTATCTAATTTTTATAAAAATTGTTACAGATATAAGCGATATCGAGAAACATTATCCAGGTTTATTAAAAGCCACAATTGAATGGTTTAAGATATATAAAATTCCAGATGGAAAGCCGGAAAATCAATTTGCATTTAATGGTGAAGCAAAACCACGAGATTTTGCACTGCACATTATTGATGAAGTGCATCAACATTGGCAAAATTTATTAAAACAGGAAGTTCCAACTAGTGGAATAATATGGTTCGTAAATTCTTTATAAATCATGCCTTATATATGGTGATAACTCTAATACAATCGCGAATACCGTGATTTTTTGTATAAAGAAAAGTAAAAAACATATAATAGAATAAAATTTTTTTATATGACATTTTTATATAATTATAAATCTTTTTTTCCAAATTCATTTTTCGAGAAAATTGAATTTAGAAAAAAGGATTTAAAATTATATCCCCAAAATAGATATATTTAATTAAAAATAAAACAATGTCAATGTTCACAAATCCAAAAATCGAATAGAAATATAAATTTATAAATAGATGTCTAATTGACCCTTTAAATTAAATAAAATACGTTTTTGATAAATTATGAAAACCAATTCTCCAAAATAAAACTTCGAATACAAAAATTTTATTATGTATTTATTTTTGAGGGAGCAATCGTACCTCATTTATTGTACAACAGTTATCGTCATATTAATATGTTTATACCAATATGTTATACGCACGCGCGCACACACGCACATACATACACACATATAGGGTATCTCATTTTAATAGAAACAGCTCTATCTTCTAAACAACATACAGGGTGTTCCCGGGCTAAATGGCCAAATTTGAAATATGAATTTAGGACCTTAAGACAAGAAAAAATTTTTCTCTGGAAGTATGCTCGCAAACGCTTCGTTCAAGAAATATTGACTTCTGAAGTTATGAACTATAGGAACGAATAATTTCGAAATGTTTCTTTTTATTTTTGTTTTGAAGATCGAAGGTCATTGACAAGCTTGTGTCATACGTCATACAATCATGCCTCATACGTTAAATTATCATGCCTCATACAATTATTTGGTACGAATGTACGGAGCTTTGTTTACAGTGCAAACACAAGCCTGTCAATGACCTTCGATCTTCAAAACAAAAATAAAAAGAAACATTTCGAAATTATTCGTTCCTATAGTTCATAACTTCAGAAGTCAATATCTCTTGAACGAAGCGTTTGCGAGCATACTTCCAGAGAAAAATTTTTTCTTGTCTTAAGGTCCTAAATTCATATTTCAAGTTTGGTCATTTAATCCGGGAACACCCTGTATAACAAAATCAAATATTTTTCTATTCAAACAGTTTTCTTTCGCGCATTTTGCACTATCATTCCGCTAAATTTTTTATATCCTTCACTTATGTCAATGAATTTTTACATTTGCTTTTTTCGATTTTATTATACACATTTTTTATTTTAATTATAATCGCTGATTTTTTATTTAAAATCTATAAGTTTAAGACAAAAATGTTTTAGACAAAAGTTATATGATTCACAGGGGGACACATGATGAAAATACTTGACCTTGAATGACCTTTTCAAGGCCAAGTCAATGTGATCGATTTTTTCTTAAATGGAACTTCCCATTTTTTATTGCATATTCTTGTAATATATCTCGAGAGCTTTTCAAAACACTATAATAAAGTATTCTTCCATTAAGTACTTTTTGAGTTATTTTATATCTTAATCTAACATATTTTGATATAAAAAATAAAATATCTCGTAAAATATTTAGTTTTCGATAATCTTACCGTAATA